AAGATCTCCTTCCTGGCTATAAGGACCAAGGATCTGGCGGAGTCAGCCAGATCTGGTCCATGGCAGCTCCAGCTTCAAGCTTGGGACCTAGCCACCCTGGCAGGTGAGGGGTGGGGCCTGCCCTGGGCAGAAATGATCTGCTGGGAGGCAGTCCTGGGGTGAGGTCCAGCCAGGGGAGCAGCTACATCCTCCAAGGATTCGCCCCTGCCCAGGACTGTCAGTCAGGGCGCTGGGCCTGCTTCCTGCCCCAGGGAGGAAAGAACAGAGAGGAGCTAAGTGCCGATCGTGCCCCAGTTCTGCCAGTCAGCGAGCACAGCTCAGACATCAGCACACGCACAGGAGGCCGCCATTAGTGACACTCCCACTAAGCAAGCGACTGCAGAGGCTGCACCCTGAGCCCAGGACCCCGGTAGGTAGCAGACCTGGGAATTCGGGTCCTGCTTTGGGTCTCGAAGAACATTCTCTCCTTGCTTCTCTGTGAGTCTCTCTCTCTCCCTCTCATCAGAACCCCATAACCATTCATCCCCTCAGCCCTGCTGTTTTGTAAATCACCACCACTTCCCCCTGCCCCTCACACTGCGTCTGCCACAACTGTCTCCTCCCAGGGCCCTCCCTTGCTCAGCTCCTACCACCCTCCACTCTCTCACCACTGACAATCGGGGCTTTTTACAGGACAGGAATCTCATTATTCCGCTATAATAGTGGGCAAAATATCCCAAACCCTACCTTGACCTCAGGTTCTGCTGCGCTTTGCCCTGGCCCACTCCTCAGGGTCCCTCGTCCCATAGGCCCCCTTCATCACTCATGCCTGGAGGACTGCACTCCCCTGATTTGTGCCTGTTTGGGGGATGACAGTCACGTAAAGCCACTTGTACTTCTTCAGGCCCAAGCCCAGGTCCACGCTCAGGCTTCTGCGAGCACTTCTGTGTCCTGACCGGGTGAATGGATAAAGATGCTGAAGGCCTATCAAGACAGGGGGGCTCTGAAACGTAACAACCCACCTAGGAACCAGGTGAGAAATCGCCCTTCTCAGAAAGCCTTTCTGACCCACACTGCCTCTCCCAGCTGTGTGTACCCATCCCTGCTGTCCAGGTAACAAGACAGGAGAGGAAGCAGCCATGCCTCTGCTCAATTGAACCCTGAGGACCCAGGCCAGAGCTGTCTCTCAGAGCCCCATAAAGGGACCGAGAAGGCTGCCGGAAAAGCCAAACCCCGACACCTGGCTATTGCCCACTCACCCTGCAGCTCTCAATTCCAGCACCTCCGGCTGTCCATCCTTAAGAAAGGAAGGTTCTCTGTCCAAGGAAGGCATTGTCTTTGATTACAAAACACCTTACCACAAAAACCAGAGGAGATGAGTACCTCACCCTAACTTCCAGGTCCGCCCCCAACTAGAAAGGGCACCCAGATCAGCCCGGGCCCTGCCGGCAGCCTGCTTGAGGAAAGCGGTGTCAGGGGTTTGGTTGGGAACTTGAGAAGCCTGGAGGCGGGCTGCCTGCTCCACACAGAGGGCCTTAATGCTGCATAAAAGCAGGGAGAGGGCTGGGAACCAGCAGTTAGCGTAATGGCTATGTCGCTGGACTCCCACGTAGTCGACCGTGGTTCGTATCCCGGACCCGGTGGCTTAAAACTCAGGCCGGGTGCTTGTGTGTGCGTGCCCAAGATCCCGAGAGGAGAGGAGAGGAGAAGGGATTGCGGCGTGACCATCCCCCCTGGGGGGTGATTTCTCGCTTTCTGTCTCTATGTCTCTCTCTGTCTGTCTGGCGAGCGCACGCGCCCTACAGTGAAAATCTCTCCCCCCAAAAAAAAACTTAAAAAAAAAAAAAAAGCAGGGAGAGGGCTTAGCCCCCAGGGCCAGCCTTCTTACTATTTAAGAAGCTTTGGTTTCCTACAGACAAAAGGCCTCAGCAGCCCAGGGTAACGACAGCATCTCAGAGCGC